ATGGTTTGGCCCACCCACAAGTGAACCTAACCCTTCCCTTAGCATTATATGTCTAGGTCTTAAACCCAGGAAGGAAAGGCCTTTTTTTTTTTTTTTTTTCATTTCCAGGGTATCTCATTATCTTTGCAGTAGGATGTGATATCTGTTCTGCAGATTGTACAGGATAGAAATGTAAAAGTCAACAGAAAGTGGAAGATCTGGAAATCAGCATTCTGATTCGGATAAAATTGTGGTTTAAATATGGCAATAAACTTATACATATGGCAAGTGTGCTTATTTTTTGTTTTATTCAAAGAAAAGATGCAAAGATAAACTGGAGAAGGAAAAGTGAGGTCTTTAAAGCTCCAGACAAGTCACAATGGGATTTCTTTGGCAAGAAGTTGGGGGTACTAAGGATCAATCCCAGGGCCTTTCACATGCTAAGCATAATCTCTATTACTGCACAGTACCCTAATTCTAATAAAGTTTTATATTGATTATGATGATTATAGCTAATACTCACTGAGTATTAGCATACCAGGCATTGTTATAAAAATTTTATATGTATTGACTTGGCATAATCATAAAAATCACTGTTCACAAAAGAACATGAAGAAAGTAACATCATCCAAAAAGTCAGGGGAAAATGACCCACAACTAGTCTTTATTCAGCTCATTAGATATATAATGATTTAGATGTGATACTATAATAATGTGAGCTATTTAATAATTTAAGGCGATTCTTTTCATTTGATAGTGGTATACAGATATTTAACTTCTTGGTTTTCCTCATTTTACTGGAGTTTGTAGATGAATCTTTTTTTTTTTTTTTAGAAAAACTGAAGCTTTGCAAGCGCAATGGTTCAGGATGTTCCGTTCTGCTTGTTCTGCTTGGGTTTAGGCAAAAATAAGAAAGATGCTGATGAAAAATAGCAATCATGGGGCATAATGGTATGCACTGACTGCCTGGTAAGTAATGCTCTCTTGAGTTTGTAGGCTCTTTTAGAACATGCTTGCATCTGTCCATCTTTGCTATTCCAGCATGCGGTGCTCAAACAATTGCAAATCGATGAAAACCAGGACACTTGAAATGAGTTTATGGAGGAGTCAATAATGTAGCCTGTCCCAACTCCACTAGGCATTGAATACAAAAGAATTTTTTCATCCCTGATGTTATATTTTTCTTTTACTTAAAAACCACAAATCAAGTCTATGAGTCAAGTTTTGAAGCTTAGGAAAAGATATAATCTAGATAAATATTAAAACAAATGTCAGATAAGTAGTTATAATCTGATGTGTTTTGGAATGATAGATAGATAGATAGATAGATAGATAGATAGACAGACCAATGTTACTATGCTTGTAAATATGCCATGTCCTTGACTTGATTGATTGCCACCAACGGCACACTTTCCACCAGGACTCCCCTCATCTATCCATGGTCATAGGTGACTCAAGAGTTCCTAATCACATGACTTCAGCAAGGTTCCTTAGTCTATTTTTGGCTCAAATTTTCTCATGTGTAGATTGGGAATAATTACTTGGCAATGTTTACCACTAGTGGGTGATCTTAAAAGATTCTCAGCTAAAGCTGTTTCGAATTTAAATATGGTCTTTACTGCTTCTGTAAAATCAATGGTAGAATTGCTGAACACTGAATATTATGTATTTTTTAAAATGTTTCCTCTGCATTTTTCTTCATGTTTATACAGACTGAATCACTAAAACAGACTTCTATTTTTAACTCCTGCTAAAAAGAAATGCTTAAATCAAGCATTTCCAAATTTATATAATAAAGTAGAATTTTAAATAGTATATCGGTGGACTCTAATATATACAAACTTGGGTTACTAACTCTGTGACTTCAGACTAATCTCTCTGTCACTCTGAGGTTGATATGCCTTTATTACTACTGCAACAACAACAAAAATAATGTATTTTTACCCCTAAGAGTCAGCTTGGTGATTAAAAAAAAGATTATGGAAGGGGGTATATCGTAACGCTTGGTTCTCAAAAAAGGTCACTTATACAACTGCTTCCTAAACAAATGCTGATAACAGTTTGAGAGTCCTAGGTTCAAAATAGAAGTTGACTATATTTAGAAAGTAATTAAAATAAGTCATCTTATTAAGATATTAGTATAGCAATTAAGAAAAACAAAAAATGTTTTGAATAAAACCATAAAATATTAACCTATTCAAATAAAGTACTTTTCCTAGCCATAAAAATAAACATTTGAAATATAATTCTGAGAGTTATGAGAGATTTTCTAAGTTGCTATGAAGGTCTCTGAACCTTTTAGCCAAAGAATGAGGGGAGTGGGGGCCATGCCTATTTTGTGTACTGCCACCTCGCAGTCAGAAGAGTGCCTGGCACTGCATAAACATTTGTGGAGTGAAAGTACAGGATAGGGAGTTACAGATGTCTGAATCAGAGAGGCTGCATTCGAAAGACTGCTTTATAGTAGAATACTATTATCGATCTTAAAAAGGCTGTTAAGAGGACTGAAAGAGGTATGAAAAGGACCTGGCACATGTCTCGAGATATGGTTTCCATAGTGCTTTCCATACTTCCACTAATTTCATAAATATATCAAGAGCAAATGAGAACAACTAGTCTATTGGTTAGTCTAGTACTACAAACAATTATGAGGCTAATCAATGGCTATATGTTTTCTACCTACATACTGAGAAGCTGTATATATAGCAAAATTCTCTTCACTAAATCTGGGACAGCCAAGCCATCAGAGCAGCCAAAGTACTCAGGAAAACTAATTCTGCTACAAAGCTTTCTAAAGAAGGCTGCATTACTCCATCGGTCTTTCTGCATGTGGCTTTCAGTTGCCTTTTTAGCTAGTGACCCTGGATTTTAACTAATGAACTCCAGCTGTTCTTATTTTCCTTCCAGCCCTTCTAATTTAACCTCCTGTCTCCCTGGTCTCACATCCTTAAGAGTTCTTACAGGAAAAATGGGACAGTGCCAGAATTCTCAAATGAGGCCTCCCATCTTCTCTCAGAGGGGAGAGAACCCCCCATTACAAGGTTCCAAGCCCTAACACTGGTGGAAAAAGAAACATTCATTGTTAGAAACTGGAAGCCTAACAACCTCCAATGTGTCAAAAATCCTTTTGTGGTTTTTAATATTATACAAGCAAAGCTTTCAGTTAGGGAAGTCCATAAAACAAACGAAGAAAGTCTGCAGCTAAATGCTAAGTGTAATTGTAAACACCTGTGCGGGAGAGGCAGCTCCTGGTAAATATGCAACCAAAGAAACATTTAGCATGCCGAACAATATGGATCCAGCTTTTCTGAACATGCTGAGAACCATCTGTTAGCAAAATACACACACACACAAAAAGTGGTTTCACTGTTAGCACCAAATGTGGACTTGGAAAACTTGGCTGTGGGCAATAGCTGAGCAAAGCTGAGCTTGAGCAAGCAGCAAACGCTGGTTGCCTAGAGAACAAGGTGAGCCTTGACAGCCGGCTTTCAGGCCAGTGACCTGTGGATTTTTACTACCTTCAGCACTACTCTTCAGTCCATCTCCACATCTCTGCCCAGATGCAATCATCTTGTCATGAGGCCTGCTAATAAGTACATCAGTACACGCAGCTTCCATTATATTGAACATTTAAATGCATGCATCTCTCCATCATGCATCTGATCCTTCTGGGGTGAGTCCCCAGCGAAATGGATAGCCATTTGGCTCTTCTACTTTAATTTAAAATGGTGCATTTCCCACGGGCTCTGAAAGACTTTTGAAAATGGCATCAAATTCAGTTATAAACTCATTTTCAGAATTGCTTTTTCCATGGCTGCTTGAATAATCCAGCCTTTTAACCTTGGTTCAAAATCTACTGATTCCATTAGCTAAAGTGAGACCAACTCAGATTCCTTTCAGTTTACCATCTTTTCTACACTTGTTTCTTGAAAAATCTGCTCTAGTAAGACCCAAAACAACTATATAAAAAAAATCAAGGTTTCTTTTCTCCTTCATAATACTCATCAATATTCTTTGTATATAGTATGTGCTCAGTGAAGAAGGAAGATTAACAGTTAAAGGGAAGAAAATAAGGCCAAAGAAGTATGTCATTTCTCTGGATTTTTGCTGTCATTTCAAATAGCTCATGTAAAAAGTTGATCATTGAATGTTTACTGCTTTCACTATATTGACTTTTCAATTGTTTTCTGGTGGTGGGAGGAGGGGTGCCAGCCCTGGGGCTTGAATTCAGGGCTTAGACTCCATCTCTAAGCTTTGTGGTCAAGGCTAGTGCTCTACCACTTGAGCCACAGCTCCACTTCCGGCTTTTCTGGTGTTTAATTAGACGTAAGACTTTCCTGCCTGAGTTGCCTTTGAACCATAGGCCTCAGATCTCAGCTTCCTGAAGAACTAGGATGACAGTTGTGAACCACCAGCAACTGGCTGGCTTTTCAATTTGTATTGTATAAATCATCAGTTATTTCTATGATCAGTAAGTTATCTATCACTAAAGGGAAATGAGGGAGAATGAAATAATAGCCACCATTTGTTTCAATCTGATTAGTCTGTGATAACTGCTTCAAATTCATGTTCTCATTAAAGGTATATACTTCATGAAATAAGCACTACTACTGTCTGCTTTCTGCAGCAAAATGAGTTAGATAGATGCCGGGTGCCGGTGGCTCACACCTGTAATCCTAGCTACTCAGGAGGCTGAGATCTGAGGATCGCGGCTCAAAGCCAGCCCAGGCAAGGAAAGTCCGTGAGACTCTTATCTCCAATAAACCACCAGAAAACCGGAAGTGGTACTGTGGCTCAAGCTGTAGAGTGCTAGCCTTGAGATGAAGAGCTGAGGGACAGCGCCCAAGCCCAGAGTTCAAGCCCCATGACTGACAAAAAATAAAAGAAAATGAGTTAGATAGGTAAGCTAATCTACCCAACATCACACCACTGGAAACTAATAGACCTATAAACCCCAATCCACTCTCCCTTACTTACTATATTGCCCAGGGCACAAAGCAAATACATTTCTCCTGTCTTACCTTCCCGGATAGCTGTGAATGGGACTCCTTCCTCTGCATTCATGCTGATAACTTTTAAAGCCACTAGTTGTCCATTTATCCTAGAAAAGGGTGTGGGAGACATGGCACATGCTTACTGATATGGTTCAAAGCAGAAACCTATCTTTAACAAAAACTTTCCTTCAAATGTAATCCAACATATGGATATACAGTTTTCTCAAAACAAAAAAGTTTGATATACATATTGAATATATACTGCATACAAGTGTTTCAAATCTGTATTTCTCTTTACTAAAGTGGAATGTGGTGGGGTTTTTTTTTTTTAGAATATTTAGAGACAAGTAAGAAACACGGAGAAACCATGCCTCTCATAGTATTCTTACGTGCATTGCTGCTTTTCTTTCTTTCTTTTTGTGCAGTTAGTCTACCCTTATTCTCCATCTGACTTGTGCCACCACACAGTCTCCCTGATTGAACATTTGTACTGCTTTGGTCTGTTTACAGCAGGGGAACAGGAGCATCCTTTCTAAGTAAAAGTGAACACATCCTTTCTCTGCCCAAAATCAACTGTAGGCCAAGTGCTGGTAACTCACACCTGGAATCCTAGCTATTCAGGAGGCTGAGAGCTGAGGGTTGAAGTTCAAAGACACTTTTTTTTTTTTTTTTTTTTTGGCTAGTCATGGGGCCTGAACTCTGGGCCTGGGCGCTGTCCCTCAGCTCTTCAGCTCAAGGCTAGTGTTCTACCACTTGAGCCACAGTGCCACTTTTGGCTTTTTTCTTATGTGGTGCTGAGGAATCGAACCCAGGGCCTCTGGCATGCAAGGCAAGCACTCTACCACTGAGCCATCTTCCCAGCCCGTCCATGAGATTCTTATCTCCAATTATCCACCAAAAAGCTGGAAGTAGAGCTATGGCTCAAGTGGTAGAGTGCTAACCTTGAGCAAGGGACAGTTCCAGGACCTGAGTTCAAGCCCCAGGACTGGCACAAAAAAAATTAAAGTAAACTGTATCTCTACCAGATAACAGCAAATTCTTGCACTGGAGTCCTAGGTACTACTGATCCATCCAGGCCTACCACTATCTGTATCTCTCCATCTTTTCCCCATTTTGTTTATGATAGAAGATGAGTGCTGAGAACAGAGAAATATTTTAATATGATATTGTTAGTAACCTTTTCATTTGACATTTTATCTTATCACTCATTCTTATATAATGTGATATTTAATAATGACTTATTATATATAAATATGCCACAATGTATTGGGCCAATTCCAAATACCTACAATTGTTCCTACCATGATGCTCATATCTGTAACTTAATCTTTTCACACAGCCCCAATTATATTCCCCCTACCCCCACCCCGAGACATGATCTTACTAAATATCCTAGGCTGGCCTCAAATGCACAAAATCCTGCTGTATAGGGCTTGAACTCAGGTCATGGGCACTGTCCCTGAGTTTTTGTGCTCAAGGCTAGTATTCAACCACTTGAGCCATAACTCCACTGTTGGTTTATTTTTAAGTGGATAATTGGAGATAAGAGTCTCAAGGGGACTTCTCTGCCCAGGCTGGCTTCGAACTATGACCCTCAGACCTCAGCCTCCTGAGTGGCTAGGATTACAGTCATGAGGCATGGACACCTGGCTTAATTTTGTTTTAATTGTCCAGGCTCCCTTTCAGGATTACATTTAGTTGCCATGTCTCTTTAACTCCTTTTTGCTCTGACAGTTTGCAGACTTTTCCCTTGTGTTTGATAACTTTAGTTGTTTTGAGGAGTTGTTTTGAGGAGTACTGGTTATATATCTTTGTAAGATGCCCAGTCTTGGAAATTTTCTAATAATGATTAGACTGGGATTATGAATTTTAGAAAGATAAAGAGTCATCTTCATCATTTTGTGACTTAAGACTTGGGAGCAGGGCTGGTACTGAGCTTGAAGGGCAGGGCTTGAATGCTCACCTGGTACTGAATCTTGTGAGCCAAGCTTCCAGTTCTGACTGTTTGATGGCTAGTTGGAGGTAAGAGTCAAATGGTTTTTGTTGTTTGTTTTCCTGCCTGAGCTGGCTTCAAATAGGAATCCTCAGAACTCAGCCTCCTGAATGGGTAGATTGTAGGCATGAGCCACAGGTGCCTGGCTAACTTACAACTTTTTCCTCCCTGGTTGTGTGGCTTGGACTCACAACCTAGGTGTTGTTCCTGAGCTTTTTTGCTCAAGGCTAGTGCTCTACCACTTTGAGCCACAGCTCCACTTGCAGGTTTTCTGCCCCCAGTTTTGAATTGCAGTCCTCAGATCTCAGCCTCTTGAATAGCCAGGATTAATACATGTGAACTACCAGTGCCCAGTAACTTACAACTTTTGAGGTTGACTTTAACCTTTGTCGGAGGTAGCACTTGTCAGGTTCTCTACTGCAAACTTACTGGTTTATCCTATACAGTATGTTAGAACCAGTGTCACTAAGGTGTTGCCTACACTTAAGGAATGGGAAGCTAGATCCACCTCTTCAAGGGAGATTATCTTCATAAACTACTTGGAATTCTTGTGCATAGAAGATTTATTTCCTCTCTCCTCATCATTAATTTAAAAACTGAATCATTACTTGGTATAGACTCATAGATAATTTATTTTTTGGTTTATAATTTAATACTGCCTATTTTGTTTCTCAATTTTGGCAGGGTTGTCATCTGAAAGCTCTGTCAATTGGTTTCATGTTGTTTGCCAAACTCTCAGCAATGTTGATTTGTTTTTACCATCATATTTTGGCCTATTCAATAGGCAAAAGCAATTACCACATTTTAATTTCAACTTCTGTACTTACAGAACTGAATTTTCTATTTTCTTTTGTGCTTTGCCTATTTATCTGCCTTTTTATTGGGATATTTTGCATATACTTTTAACCAGTTACTTTCGTTTGTCTTTTAAGTGTTTGTGTGCATGTGTGTGTGTGTGTGTGTGTGTGTGTGTGTGTGTGTGTGTGTGTGCGCGCACACATGTGGATGCCTGTACTAGGGCTTAAAGTTAAGGCCTCTCAATCAGCTTTCTTGCTCATTGCTGGCCCTCTACCCTAGGAGCCATACCTCCAGTCTGGCATTTTGTTGGTTAATTGGAGATAGGGTCTCAGATTTCTGGGCTGGTTTGAACCTTAATACTCTAGGTCTCAGACTTCTGAGGAGCTAGGATTTGTAGGTGTGAGCCACTGGCACCTGGCTGAATTCAATGTTTAGTATTTTCTAAAGTATTTTGTTTAGAACATGGCTCTGCAAATTCTACTTCATTAAAAATTTTTAAAGACATTTGATCAAATATGCGTGGTAATGCTTTATACTTCATTTTCTTACTTCTTTTTAAGTAGTCAAAATGTACACTGGCATTTTTGAAATGCTGAAAGCATCTATGATAAAGGATTGAATCTGATTTTGTTCAAAGGTTGCCAGTGTTGGCTGGATGTTTCAATGAAACATCTATTGAAGCGTCTTGGAATTGGAACACCCCAGTTGCTCCTTAGAATGTACTTGGATAGATGACATTACATGGAACCCCTTATGGGTTCTGACTTGAATGTTAGACAGAGACAAACCTTCTCAGCCTAAATGTTATGCAGAATTCGCTTCATTATTTTTTCTTCTAGCTCTAGTATGCTTTCTTTTTTTCATTTAATGCTTTAGTCCACCATACCTATAATACATATATATATATATATATACACTTATCCCAAATGGCCTAACAATTGTTCTAGCTCTATTTAATACTGTCTTCTTTTCCTTCTGACTTGAAATACTACTATAATTATAATGTAGATTTATCAATACTTAGATTGTAATTGTTCTAGCTATAGTTGCTCATCATGTTTCTTTTTTTATTATTGTGAAAATATATACGGAGGGGTTACAATTACATGGGCAAGATAATGAGTACATTTCTTATCAAGCATTGTAGCTTCCTCCGTTGTTTCCCCTTCCCATCCCTTCCTATCCTTCCCCCGCCCCCATCCAATCCTCCTCCCCCCATCATATTTCTTTAATGTGTCTTTTCTTCTACTTATCCTATACAATTTTAATTGTTGTAGCTTAGAATATACAGTCATCCCTCTATATCTGTGAATTCTGTATCTGTATGAAAACTAACCACAGATTGAAAATATCCAGAAAAATGCTGTGTTTCTATGGGACATGTACTGACTTTTTTTCTTCTAATCTACTAAGCAAGACAATACAACAATGATTGACATGGCATTTACATTGTATTAGGTATTATTAAGCTATACTCATGCCATTTTATATAAGGGACTCACTTCAGCATCCACAAATTTTGATCTCCAAGGGGATCCTAGAACCAATTCCCAAAAGTTTTAAGGAATCATTCTATTTGACTACATCAAAATTCAAAGTTAGAGAATCAGTAACATTTTTATATACTATTAGATTTTTCAAATCCAAATATCCAATACTTACCACAGGCCCAACATGGTCATCGTTCACACACATTGTGCACACACATCCCCAGCTCCTTCCTTCCCTCATCTTCTTCCATCCCTTTTTATGCCTCAAACTCTCAATAATCCCCCCTCCTCTGATTTCTGCTTATATGATATTTTAAATTAATATCTGACTACTAGTAAGCTATTATTTGGGATAAGAGCACCTAACTTTCCCACCCTATCTAAAAAGCAGTAGAATTTAGATTTCCAAAATACATACTTGACTTTTAGATAAACAGTGTTTTTCATTTCCAGACATTTTCTGTATTTTGCAAGCATAGAAACCTCAAGGTGTCACATTTTTTGCACACTCCATACTTTGCAGAAACCCAACTTCCTTTTCTTCTTGGAAAGCCAAGTGGAAGGAAGAAGCAGAAGCCTCAATAGACCTCCGCAACTATGAAAATTCTAGGAAAATTCTAGAGACACCTTAGCAACTCCAGGCAGTCACTGTTCTTTGGGTCAAGAATAGAGAAAGTCTAGTTGCTTTGAATTGAATAGAAGACAGGAAAGGCCATCAGACATTTTAGTGGGCTGACTTCAATTGGAGCAGAGCAGGTTTGTTTTCCTTTCAAGGCTATTTGAATCATCTGCTCTCTCTCTCTCTCTAATGGCCCCACTGTCTTGCACATGTCAAATGCAGTGAAAGTGGTGTGTCATCTGACTCTATAATGTAAAGTGATGGAGTGGGGCCCTCATTTCAAAAATCTCCCCAGTCCTGCATCAACTCACCTGCTAATCCCCTTGTAAACTGTAGCATAGGAACCTTCACCCAACTTCTCCAAGTTCAAGTAGGATGAGGCTGCCCCAAAAGGAAGGCTCTTCCTCTGCATAAAAGATACAGAGAAGTATGAGAGACTGAAGAAAGGAGCAGGTGTGTGTGTGTGTGTGTGTGTGTGTGTGTGTGTGTGTGTGTGTGTGTGTGTGTTACTCTCCTCACAATCCCAGGACACTAGACAGCATTGTGGAGGGTGTACCTGAGAAAGCCCATCAGGAACCACCTTGTGAGGGGAACAGCAGACATCCATTAAGTTTACTCACCCATTGGAACCGTTGCCCAGCATCCTCCTCCTGAAAAGAATCGCTGTTACTCCGTGGCCTTTTACTCACAAACTTCCGGGCACTGACAGTCTGGGGTCCCTTGGGGTGAAATGAAGTCATAGAACAGGATGCTTCTTTTAGGTCTGCTAGCTAGAGAGAGAGAGAGAGAGAGAGAGAGAGAGAAACAAAACACAAAAGCAAATGCATGGATAAAATGTGTGCAAATCAAGGTTCTGTAGCTTGCAGAACTGATTTTCCTTTGTTTGCCTCATACTTTTTCATCCTATGTTTTCTAAGTTTCCTACTTCCCAGAAGGGGAAAAAAAAAGCAGCTTTCTTGAAAGTCAGATCCCTAAAAGAGACCATAATAGTATCAACTGCTGAAATGCTACATTCCTTCTTCACCTGAATGCTTATAATGCAGAGATTAACCTAAATCTCCTTGATGGATTCTTTCCAATTTTTTCTCTTTGATTCTGACTCCTCTCACTTCCTCCCTCTCCCTCTCCCTCCCTCTCTCTCTCTCCCTCTTCCTCTCCCTCTCCCTCCCTCCCTCTTTCCCTCCCTCCCTTCTTCCTGCTCACTCAATTACTCAATTATTCAATGCATAACTTTAGGAAAGTAATCATTGCTAATAGTTACGAGAAAATTCCTGAAATTTTGAATCCACAACAATACTGCAGCTTGCTTTCTTTGGTTCAGCCCTGTGAGTCAGGACCTTCGAGATCTCAAGAACAGAGCCACTTTCTCTACTTCAAGTCAAGGCACACCACAACCAAAGATGATTTTTCCCTTCTGGTTTACAAGCACATCCCCAAACTTGATAACTACAGCCATAAATTCTCTGTGACTTTAATAGAATTTTTTTTTCTTTTTATGGGCTTTAGACCTACCGCAGAAAAATCAACCCGTGCTACATGGAAGGAGAATGTCTGTCTGAACTCCTGAGTTTATCGTGAAAGCAAGATGCTTTCTCCTGAGATGCAAATACCTCTAGGGCAGCCTCCATGCTCCCAGGCTGAGTCCTCCGGCAGCTGCGTGCCTCACCTCCCTCCGGACAGTGAGAGCAGCCGCATCCAGGCTGTAGTCTCTTTGTGCACAGCTCTTGACCCATAATCTTCTCAGTTCAAGGAGAAAACCTGCACTTGAACCTCTCCCTCTCTGCCTCTCCTTGTCCTTGCTCACTCCCTTTTAGCCAGAGGTCAGCAGTGTGGAGCTTTCATATGACTCACATGAGGGCTCTGCCTGAAGCAGCCTCATGACTTCAGCAGTTTTCCTTATCAGAGCAAGGAAGTCTCCATCAGAAGAGCCGGCTGCTGCTCCAGCCAGACGTGCACAGCCCCAAACAGGGAGGTGCAATCTGGACACAACACAGTTGGGCAGAATGCCAGCCATAGCGAGCGTGTTCGGTATATGTATATATTTTTTAAATGAATTTACCATGTGATAGCGTGACAGTATCATAGTGATATGGAAATTCAGTTGGCTTCCTCCTGCAAGCATGAACACACTGAGAAGTAGTTTGTGCCTTTTATCTGAAAGCAGTTTTTGGTTTCCCAACTTTAAAAACAAATTTGCAACCCAGCCAATTTTTAGTAGTCAAAGAAACCACAGACTCATACAACAGGAAGAAAACTGAAGACATCTAGTCTATCCTTTTGCCTCCAATAAAGCTGCCTAACAGCCCTTAAGGAGTCATTCATTTATTCAGATACTCTGTGTGAACACCTATGTTCTTACTGTATAGATGAGAAAGCTGAGAGAGAGAGAGAGAGAGAGAAAGAGGGAGAGAGAGAGAGAGAGAGGAGAGTTTGTGCTGGGCATGATGGCACATACCTGTAATCCTGGTATTTGGAAGGCAGAGGTAAGAAGATCCAGAATTCAAAGTCACGTTTGAATTACATAGCAAGAGCCTGTCCCAAAAAAAAAAAAAGTCCTAGACCAAGTAAGTTCATGAAGATTTTCTTTTTATCATTCTATTATTATGTCTTACAATCATTTTTTCTTTTTTTTCCACACTTTCATTAGAGGACTTCATTTTGACATGCCCATATATGCATCCAATGGAACTTGTTCACTGCTAGTGCTCTACCACTTGAGCTACACCACCAGTTACACGTACCTTAATCATACTCACAAGTCATAGAATTTTTTTTTCCCCCTGCTGATCCTAGGGCTTGAACTCAGGGTATGAGCACTGTCCCTGAGCTTTTGTGTTCATGGCTAACACTCTACCACTTGAGCCACAGCTCCATGGTTGGCTTGTTAGTGGTCAGTTGGAAACAAGAGTCCCATAGACTTTTCTGCCTAAGCTGGCTTTGAACCATAATCCTCAAATCTCAACCTCTTGAGTACCTAGGATTGCAGCTGTGAGCCATCTGTGCCCTGCTTAGTCCTAGGATTCTTAAAAACCAGTCTTTGTATTAGCGAAGCAATTATATACCTAAGTCACAACTATTCTACAATAGAACCTGATTTTTAAAGCTTTATATTCATGTTTTGATACTAGAAACAACATTTTCTTCTTATTCCAGAGAAATTGTTAAATATCCTTCAGAATTTTAAAACATGTAATAATGTACAGTTTTATTGTTTTGTTGAGAGTCAAGGAAAAATGGCAGATGACTTATTAAAATGTATCCCAGCTCTTATGCCCAAAACAATAAATTTTGTTACCAAAGATTTCTGTGTAAAAAACAAGTCAGATGATTTTCTTTTGGGTCAGCTTGGGTTGGACGTCCTTCAGGCAGCCTGCTGGGCTCTTGGTAAGAAAAGCCATTCTTGCTCTCCACAGGCATGCCCACCCTTATAGAATGCAAGTACTCACCTGGGAGGTTCACAGGTATGGAGAGGCCTTTGTGCCTAAGCCTAAGTAAACTAACAGAGACTGGCTTCAGCAACTTCCTGCAAGGGATGATGGCACAGTCCGGAGTGTGGGAATTGCCTACAGGGCACACTTCCACCATTTGAAACCAGTGTAGTTGTGTATCTTAGGCCAGCTCAGAAACATGCTATTCCCTCCCTTCCTTTCCTCCCCTCTCCTCCCCTTCCTTCTCCTCTGGGCAAGCATGTGCCATCCCCTTCCCTCACTTTCACCACAGGTTCTGTTTCCAGGGAATCTGGATTAAGATAAGTGGTAACCATGGACAATTAGCAGTAAAATGACATGCTATGGACCATGTAAGGCTAGCATGTCCATCCACCACATTTGGGGGATTATTTTTAGCTTGTCAACTGTTGTTAATTTAGACTACTATGTTTGAGAGTTTGCATTTTTCCCCATTTCCTCTTCTGTTTCAATTTTAATCAAGTTATTTGAAATTATGGGCTACTTAAAACTTTTCTAGAATGTGTAGATTATCACAGATGCTTAACAGATAATAACAAGATAAGTAGTATGAATTAATGACAGAAACATTTTAAAAAAACTGAAGAATGCTCAATTGTTACAAAAATAAAACAAATAAAGAGCCAGATTACTAATATTATCATTCTAGCTACTCGGAAGGCAAAAATCAGGAGGATCATGGCTTGCTGCCTAAGCAAAATCTTTGTGAGACCCCACTCTCAACCAATATAAAGCTGTGCATGGTGGTGTACAGTTGTCGTCCCAGCTGTCTGGGAAACATAAATAGGAGGGTTGAAGTCTAGGCCAGCCCCAGGTAAAAACACAAGACCCTATTAAAAATAACTAATGTCAGGCACTGATGGCTCATACTTGTAATTCTAACCACTCAGGAGGCTGAGTGGTTAGGATCTGAGGATCTCAGTTCAAAGCCAGGCCAGATAGAAAATTCCTTGAGACTATTATCTCGAAGTAACTATCCTCCCCTCCTTCCCCCCCCTCCCCAAAAGACACCTGAAGTGGAGCTATGGCTCAAATGGTAAAGCACTAGGCTTGAGCAAAAAAGCTCAGGGAAAGTGCCCAGGCCAAGTTTAAGCCCCAGGACTGGTGTGCATGTGTGCGAGCATGTGTGTGTGCACACACACAGAGTTTTTTTTTTTTAAAGAATGTAAAAAGGGTTGGTATCATTGCTCAAGTGACAGAGCACCAGTGCAGCCATTACAATGCTCTGGATTCAAACTCCAAAACTACCAAGAAGAAAAAGAGTGAGAATTAAAAAGACCTAAACCATACAACAAATGAGCATAATACATTAGGTATTGTATGGAAGCTGATTTGAGTAAATCAACTGTAAAATGACTTTTCTGAGACAAGTATGGAAATTTAAATATGGCATTACATTATTCTAAGAATTTATTTGTAATTGGCATGGTGATTAAAAACAGTCGAGTAGTTAGAGATGCATGCTAAAGTACTTACAGAAGGTATGACATAATTTCCAGGCTCACTTAAAAAAATTCCAGACAAACAATGCTGGGAATAGAAAACACAAAATTGGTTAAGGTAGTAATAATGGTTTATGCTGGCCAATAGTTATATTAAGGTTTGATTTTGAGTTAAATTTTTTTCGGAATAATAAGGAAAGAAAAAGAGCAATATACTTAAAAAATGCATTCACACCAAATCTTTACATTTTGGTTATTTTCCTGACTGTTTTCAACAAGGGTATATGAGGCTTTCAAACAACTACAGCAATCTTCCCCTCATTATCAACTTCATCAAAATTGCTACCTGTCAGTGCTTATTTTGTGCCCAGCTCCATGCTGGTTTAGAGACTGACCCTTGCAACACCATGACAATATCTAGGTTGTCATTCTTATCACTAGGAAAACTGAGTCTTATAGTTTAAGTAGTTTTTTCAAGGTAACCAAACTAAAAAATAGTAGAAACTCATTATAAAGCTCCCCAAAGACTGCATCAAAAACTTTTACAAATTTTATTGAATGAGAAGACAATAATAAATTGTATTGTACATGGTATCTCTCCAGTTGTTCATTTTCCTTATTACTTATAAGGCCTAAACTTCTTTGTGTTTTTATTGTTTGCATATATTAGTGGTACAAGGAGGGTTTCATTGTGACATTTCCTTTTTTTTTTTTTTTTTGCCTGTTGTGGGGCCTGAACTCTGGGCCTGGGTGCTGTTCCTCAGCTCTTCAGCTCAAGGCTAGCGCTCTACCACTTGAGCCACAGCACCACTTGCGGCTTTTTCTGCATATGTGGTGCTGAGGAATCGAACCCAGGGCCTCATGCATGCAAGGCAAGCGCTCTACCACTGAGCCACCTTCCCAGCCCTCATTGTGACATTTCCACACATGTGTACAACAATGTCCAGATCAACCTCACCCACTCCAGCACGTACTTCTCTCTCCTTTCCCCACTTCTTAAAACAATTTCAACAAGTTTGATTGTTCCATTTTCATACATGCAAACAAACCACACTTTGGCCACATGAACTGTATTTATCATGAGGAAAATAATTATATTCAGAATAATCCAGGAATAGGCAAGGACTCCAGTTACTTATTCAGGGACATGTAGTATTGCCTTTGGTAAGATATGTGAACATTTTTGGAAAGAAATAAAAGCTGCAGGGTACAATTCTTAAATCACACTTCTTGTTCCTGGATTACTTTAGCTTGCAACAGTTACATTCTGAGGGTGCTGCCTGCTGACAAGAAATGGAACTGCAAGCAGGTGGTAGCGAGGCCTCTTTTTTACTTTTACATACTTATATTATTATTACACATTATTATATATTTGTAAATTGTGCTTAAATTTCTCTCTGAAGTTGATGTTATAAATTCCTGTGTTATCTTCTATTTCCACTGTCATTGAGAGTACGGTTCAAAACTGTGAATTATTGAAAAAGAATAGGAGAAAAATGCCCATATTTACAAATTTCACAATTTTTGAGACCTTGAAATTTCTGTGCAGAAATGTCAAATTTCCAATTACCATGCCTTGTTTCCTAGATTTAAATTCCGTTTTCTCTAGCATCAGGGGATGCAATTCAGAGATAGTTTACCAATTATGCAGGATGCTTTAGATTCAATACTTAGCAAAGAAAAAATAAATGCATCCACATTTTTTGCCCTAATACTATATTTCTTCCTTTTGTTCAGGCTCTCCTCACATTCTGGTCTTCACCTATAAAAGAGATGATATACTTGTGTGGATCAAAGCTTTTAACTACAGGGGCTGGGAAGGTG